TTAGGAGTTAGGGCTTTAGGGTTTAGGGATGTTAGGCTTCATAAACCACCCCATCAAACCCTCGTACTTAAAGGGCTTATAACTAAGGTAAGTGTACTGATATATACTTATAGCCCCGATTAAGGGGCTTATAACCTTACTTACTAAGTCTCATGATCCCCGAAACCCTAAACCCTGAACCCCTAAACCCTAAACCCTAAACCCCTAAACCCCAAGTCCCATGATCCTCCAAGTATGGTCCTCTGCAGCCCTAATCCTAAAGCATGAAGCCTTATGCATACCCGGCCCTACACCTGAAAACCTAACGAGGACCTTTAGGGTTTAGGGCTTAGGGTTTAGGGTTGAGGGTTTAGGGTTTAGAGCCCTGATAAAAAGCTTACGGAGTCCCTTGTAGAACCCTCAAGAAACCCTACACCTAAAACCCTAACCCCGAACCCAGAACATCCTCAAGTACCCTGAACCCCCAAACCCCCAACAAGCGATCGCTTGGATGATATGGAGGAATCTGCAACCAGCCCTGTAAATTATAAACCCAAAACCCTGCGGTAAAGAATCTTGAACCCTATTGTATAAGGCCAATTGTCTCAAAGCCCTACGCCCTGAACGGTTAAAAGAACCGTGAAACACCCTACAGCCTAGAGTCCGAGGAAGCTGTAAGGCTTGTTGAAGAAGTTGTTGAGCTGAACGCTGTAATGTGTGCGGTCCACGGTATCCCTAAAGGCGCACCACCTAAGGAGGTCTTTGCCATGGTTACCAAACTCCTTTCGCGAGCTGAGATGCTTTCATCTCCTACAGAGTGTCCTGGATTGCGAATGGGCACGGCTTTGGGGACTTGTGTAGACTGGGAGAAAGACAACAGCCCAAGACAGCTTTCATCTCCACAGGCTCTTGAAGCTGTGAGGCAGGAAGCCGCGGGTCTTCGCTCAGTCCAGTCCCCGTCTGGGACGAGAGCAATCCCAAGGAATATGCGGATGTCCAGGCACAGGCGCGCCGCACAGGAACCACAGTACACTTTGGGAAGCTAAAGAGCATTGCATCCATCAAGCTTTGGGAGCTTGCCAAGCATCTCCAGAAGGTCAAGGGCCGGATAGTGTATCGAGGGGACTGTGCCAAAGACGAAGAGGGTGCTGCTGCCGTTTACAGGGAGTTAGGAGCTAATCCCACCTCCGAGGTCGGAGTGGATGGGATTTCAGGTTTCAGAAAAACCTTGTAGAGCTCTCATATGAAGCCATAGCCCTAAACCCTGGAGGCCCTAAAGGCCCTAAGGCCCTAAACCCTAAAACCCTAAAGCCCTAAATCCCTAAAACCCTGTTGGCCCTAAATCCTAAGCCCTAAACCTTGAACCCTAAATTCCTAAATCCCTAAACCCCTAAACCCTAAACCCCGAAACCCTTTTAAAGGTCCATGTCCTAAAGCCGAGGTCGGCGTGGAGGGGATGTACGTTCTCGGCCCGGCGCGCCAGCGCGCTCTCGGCGCCTCCGGCTTAGCCCTGGAGCCGCTCGTACCAAGTGGGCTGAGGGCTTCTTTAGGGTTTAGGGTTTAGGGTTTAGGGTTTAGGGTTTAGGTTTAGGGTTCAGGGTTTAGGGTGCCCTAAACCCCCAAAAACCTAAATCGCGTTTAGGAGCGATTTAGGGTCTAGACCCACGCTCGTGGTCGCAGAGGCTTCTCTGTACTTGTTGGCGGGCTGGCGGAATAAACCCTAAGGGTCCAAGTAATGTAGGAGCCTTAATAGATTAGGGTTTTGGGGTGCCTTATTATAGTTACAGTATAATGGACCCCAAAACCCTATTCTAATTATAAGGCCCCGCCATTGCCTAAGCCAAAATGCTCCGTAACCCAAGTACATGATTAGTAGGTCCTTCGGACTTTTCGGGAAACATCAGTCGTGACAGATCACTTCAATAAAGAGCCTCGTCCCCCAAAAGCCGAAATGCCCTTGAAACAATCGTGAACCATGCCAGTCTGAACTTCGATACCAGAGGTCCTACAGGGGTTTAGGGATTAGGGCTTAGGATTTAGGGTATTTCTTGTTTAGGGTTTAGGGGTTCTAGAGATGTCTTCATACGTACGGCTCTTTTAGGGGGTTCTACACGGGCGTAGGAAAGTTTGCTGCCCAGGATCTCTGCACCAATTTCTCCTTGACGTGATAGCATCCGCTGATGGGCAAAGTTCATGATTTGAATAGGATTTTGGGGTCCCTCTCATAAAACTTAAAAAAGAAACCTCCAAATAATATAGGAAATTATTGAGGCCCCGATGTTATGCAATGTCCCTGCGCAGGAATCAACAACAAAACCCTAAACCCTAAACTCTCAACCACAACACTTCAATTACGGGATGCAGGATTTGTCCATCAACCGAATGACCCGTGTTAGAAGATCCCAGGTGGAAGCCAACAGTCCCAAAGCTCGGTCACTCCACGGGTAGCATAAGGGGTTGCCGCCCGACGACAACCTACGGCTTAGGGTTTAGGGTTT